AGTTTGTGTGATTCGCAGAACGAACCCTTTTTTGTTACATTTGCCCAAAGAGAACGTAACATTTTATATGATTCAATGATCACAAAATACTGAAAAAACGAAAATTAAGAAGCTTTAAGAACTGTTATACCTTAATGTCTCAACTATTAGATTTCTGAGGACAGGAATATGGTAGAAATAATTCACAAAATGTTATCGTTACGTTGAAATATGTGCCATTTTGCCAGTTTTCATTCAAATTAGAATCGTATAACCTTCTGTATTGAAGTAAGCTTTATAATACTACGAGTTGTTCTTGACATTCTTGTTTTTTGTCACCTTTAGGTACATGTCTAGCTGCAGAGGATGGGGGGGGGGGGGGAGTTATTTGTTATCGGGCAACGCAAAACAGACGCAGATTGTACAAATCAAATTTTCTTGTTAACAGATGTTTCCACATTCGCCTAAACTTCGGAGCACTGCACACTTGTCCCTTATTGTGTCTCAAGCGGATGTGGTTAATAACTTACAACTTCAAATTTTCCGGAGAGGAAAGGGATTCTAGCAAAGCTTAATTGAAATTTAATTGGAATACATCGAAGTGCGTTAAAACGGCACTTATGTTTAAATTTCCATAATTGCGTATTAAACAGTAGTTGAAAAGATAAACTCGTGCCGTATCTGAGAAAGCAAAGTAAGGCTCTTGAGTTTTCACATTAAACAGACAACTCTAAACTGCAAGCTTAACTTCAATTAATCTAAATGGGAAAATTCACATCTCGGCAAACTACCGCTAACATATTCTGTGTGATGATTTCAAGCTAAGTAGGCACTTACTTTAAAATTATTACTGGTTAATTTTCATAATACGTTTGCTTGCGTAGGTTTGGATAATTTAATTGCTAATACTCAAAGTGGTTAGTAACGGTTAAAATCCATCTAACTACTTAATTGGAGTGGAATTATTTTACCTTAATTAGTTCTTTGCTTTATTACAGTTTCAGAAGAGGGGTTTAGATATCATATTCCGCGTAGCGCTTGGATTAAGGGATGCGCAAAGCCGCTGCAGAAACATTAAAGGAGAAATTATCTTTTCGATATCTCCCCATTAATATCTAAACAGGCGATTTACCACCGAAAGGAAAATAAGTTGAATTAGGAAATTAGACCTAAAGCTTTTAGTTACGGCGAAAACTTAAAGCTATGAAATTTCCAGATGACAGACCATTTTAGAGATTAACATTGAAGTAGGTGAAGGTGATCGGCTGTACGCATAACTCCTACTCGAAAAAATTGGAGAAGGCACAATTCATAATATAGCATTGATTCGGTTGACTACAATAGTCAAATTGGTTAATTTAGTTTTTAATAAAAGAAGTCGGCAATGAGAGTAAATCGGAGGAATTGTCACAAAAACGTCGACTATTTCATTCATAATAATCTCGGTTGGCTCTCACTCTCATTTGAATAGGGAATATGCATGTGGTTTAAATTTACTTGATTCTTTCTCCCGCGAATATTTATTGTCCTAACATTATACTTAAACCATTAGTTTCTTATTTAGTTTGTTTTTAATTGCTAAAAATGTTAATTCAAAAGTGCAAAATAAGCGAACGAAATTCAAATTTGCGAAACGCTTCACTATTGGACGAATATAATAGGCCCTTGTCGCTCTGATTAATAAAAAACATTCATTTTGGTAAAATAGAAGCATAAAAAAGCTCACGCTTTAAAGAATCGTTTGATGTGACCCGATTTGCTATAGTATTTGAAATACAAGTGTTACAATGCGACCTATTATAATACGACTATCTTGTGGCACGAGTGGCGTAGGGAAACGGAGCCACAAGTGTCCACAATATAGGAGTATTACAATAAAGCATTGTAACACGTGTTTTTCATACTATTTTTTCTATTTCGGGGCTTTAATTTAATTAAAAAGTAATTATGAAAAACTACAGGAAACTTTAGAATTAATATGTCTTAAGTTGGCAACACCATTTACGTTGACAAATTTTAAGTTGGCAGCGTAGATAAACACAACACTGACATTTGGAAACTTTAAATTCCGTGAATGTGTAATTTTTTATTCGTAGATAAATTTATTTATGGTGGATGTGTAAACTGCTGATTTGGAATGTATTAAGTTCTTCGTGTACCAAAAATCAAGGAAAACACGTAATTTGATTTCACATCGGATGATTTGACGTTGACGTCTTGACGTCTTGGCGAACTGCCAACTTAGAGATGAAAAGTTACCAAAAACAATGTTACAATGGAACTCATTGAAACACTGTTTTTGCCGAAAACAGTTGCACAAAATTCTCATTGTAACACCGAAATAGAAAAAATCATTTTTGGTTGTGTCGAAAACAAGTCCGAAGTCGAATTTTTCGTGAACTCGGATTTGGACGTTTTTTTTATGTAAGTCATTCCGAGAGCTTTCCATTCGCCTACTATAGATTTACATTTCTTGTGGTATTTTGGAAATTATTCCATTTATTAACTAAAAAAATTCTTCGGATTTTGAAAAAAAATTGCACAGCCCGTCGATTTGCAAGAATCAACGGCACAATATTGTAGAAAAAGATTGTTTTAGGGTTCACTAACTGTAAAAAAATTGAGAACGCTCTTGGAGTCGTCCTCTTGGAACTGCAAAAAAACACTTTATCGAGAATATTTCTAATAGTGTTTTTGCACTTTGGCACAAGGCAATACCTATAAAATGGTTTTTTAGCTTTTTCCATGGTCTGAATAGCTATTACAACTGAAAATATGTATAAATAAATCAACACTTATTAAATACTGATCGTGGCTTGTGACGTCATCCAAGGCCCACTGAAAATGCGGCGGCGTTCAAACCCATCGAATAAAGTCAACGTTTTGAATGTTATTTTACAAGTTAAATTGAATTGTTCTAACAGTGTTTACACTTTTTACTATGTTAGAACGATGTAAACAAGCGATTAAAAAATTTAAAAAATTACATGCATATTCCCTATATTGTGTCGCTAACTTATTTGAGGATTGTTGTTCGTGTATTCCCCTACGTATTGATTGCGTTTGATTTGTTCTGTGAAACTTCATTATTCAGTTCCCGGTTTAGTTGTACCTATTCATTAGGGTTATGATTGCATAGGTGCATGGCTTTTTTCCTAATAGACGCGGCAGGCCTGGGCGTATTATCCAACAATAAAGCAAAAATTCGTCACAAGGTTAGTATCACGTTGTAAATATATCTTGCATAAGGCGTGGATAATCCTTGGCCTCATTGTAGGATGGTATATTAAGTTTGCGTTTTGCCTGTCCGTCCATCTGTGCATCCGTGTGCCCGTAACCACTTGTGCTCTTTCGATCTACTTTTAGGGAATTGTGCTAGAGTCCTGCAACAAGTAGCCTATATACCTTGCATGTGTGCCAGACGGCCATCAAATTTCGCTGTCTTGAAACTCCCCCCCCATGAATAATTTCCTAAGATGATGTTTTTGAAATATGAAACTAGACAACTTTTACATGCGACAACCAATTATTGGTCTCATTTTCTGCATACGGGGGAGGGGGAGGGGGGTTGAACACATGTTCTACCCTTCATGATATTGCAATCAAGACCCCTTATCATAAGAGAAAATTAGGGGGAGGGGAGGATCTCAACGAAAGGAATGAATTTCTACTAACCATAGTCCTCGTCCTCGATTCATTATCGTGCTCATATACAATTCCTTATATCTGAAGAACAGATTGTCGGAAAGGTGTACTCACAAAGGGCGATTGCAACGTCTAGAAGAAATATATCCATTGGTGAAGGTGATGTCAAAACTTTAAGAGCGAATATCTCTAAAATGGTTTCTCGGAGAGGAGTACTCACAAAGTCAAAATCAATTGTCTGGACGAGACATATCTATTGACGAAGTCGAAGCGAATATCTTGAAAACATTTTGTGGGAAGAGGCTCGGAATAGAGGTCAAGTGGAACGTCCGGGCTAGACATATCTACTGTTGATGTCAAAACAGTTAGTGCATATCTGCAGAACGGAGTGTCGGAGGGGGTACTCTCAAAGAGCGAAAAGATCGCCTAGACGAGACACATCTACTGATGACGTGAAAACTGAATTGTGCATATGTCGAAAATGAATATTTCTGAGAATTTCTCTAAAGATTTGATTCTTCTTCTATTATACGGCGTAGAATTTGAAATTATGCAAGGTGTCCTTTAAATTGTTATATGTAAAGATCCCCTTACCCATTAATCATCTACCAAGAAAGTAAATATCAGTAAGTATAACATGCTGCTACCTTAAAACCGAACCATTTACTAAGCTATTTAGGTTTTAAAAAAATGGGCTTTATCTACACAAGAGTTGTGTACAATTTATACTTGTTTGGCGGTAGGTAGAAATCAAATTTACAATACCCCCACGCAAAGCTATAAGGAAGTAGCGCGAGCATGCCTCAGGTGGTTAACCCCTGAAGCTTACAATCTAGTCACTTGTTTCCTGCTTCATATCCTATTTGTTCGCTTAATTTGAGCTTCATGTGTCAAAGCGTTCTTGAGTTACTGTTCGATCGGGCGGACGAACAGACTGCCGAACATTCAAGTTTTTCACGTTTTCGATAAAGGAGCTACTCGCAATGCTCTTGCTGCTCAACAAAATTCTTAAGATATTAACTGCTTTATTTCTCATTCTAGAATTCTTTATTTTCGGTCAATTACTTTAGTTTTTATGGACGAGAATCCTGGAACTCTCATTTCGAGATTAGGATTTCTATAAATTCACAAGGATTCCTAACAGATTTCGATCCCTTTGCTGCTGCTCAATGATGACCATCGTAAAATTGTAGTGGCATTCACTGACTTTTCTCTCGTATCCAGTATTTCACTATGAGGAAAAGCTATTTCGTTGCCGTGTAGGCTACTCACGAACTTGTCTGGTGGATCAGCGATTCAAGTATTATACGTAATGAGTAACAAATGAATTTCTTTTAGTAGGTACGCAGCAAATAAAATAAAAGAATGCGCGTTTTCTTTTTAATATTACATGTAGAAATACAAGTACAGTCAATTTGATCAAAGACGTTTAGCAACCGTCGATGTCGATGTCGACGTTGGCGCAGTCTCTAAACACTCCTCCGCTTCTGAAACACAGGTAAATCCTCGTATAACTTTATCTCTATTGCATGTTTCCCATCTTTGACACAATAAAAACCGTGACATCTTTCAGTTTTCCGGATTATTCGTAAACACATACAAACCACTTTAAAGCATCTGCGCTTGCATTCATCATCACCGTTATTTAAATAAGACAAGCCAATACCGTCTGCACTGTGTATAGTACTATCTGTGCTTTATAACTAGCTAAAAGGTACAAATGAAAGAGACCCCCCCCCCCTTCATTCGCTGTCACTGTCAATCTTCAATGTTTCTGTTGCTCAATAAGATTTGCCATTGTATCGTGGAAAGACTAACGCCACAACAACGTTTACCAATTGTTAAAATATTTTTTATTCTCAAAAAGGGGCTCATTGTTTCACTGTCAGCTGTTCTGGCGCCTTTTATAAATCGATCGAGATCTCGTCAACGGAATTTCGTGGAACCTTCGGGTTTCCAGCATTAAAATTCGCACTTATCGTGTTATTTCTGCATCGCTCAATTTCAAAGCTGAAAGTCATTTCTGAAGTTGACAATTTATGAATTTCATTTAAATGTCTCCTTTTATGGATCGATCGAGATCTCGGTAACGGAATGTCGTAGATCCTTCGGAGTTTCAAAATTAAGCACCAGCGGCATTCAAACGAAGCTCTCCCCAATTACGAGAAAGGGTTTCTGTTCATTCGGAAAAGCTTTAATAGAATTTCTGATATGTAGTAAAGGGAACGAACCGGAGATATGATATTTACAGCGGACAGAAAAAATCGGAATAGCGCATTTTATAGGATAAAGAAAAATATTTCTATTCTAAGGGCGCACAAACAGTGAGAGTGGTTTGGGAAGGGAAGTCGTGGTGAAAAATACTTCAGGGGCAAATTTAAAAGTGCAGTAAGTAGGGTAGGTAAGTATTTGTTGCATTTTGCAATTTTGAGGATGGGCTGAAATTCGTTGGTTGAGAAGGTTAGTGGAAAAGTAGTCTGAAACAGGATAGCTTGATAATGAGTGAAGGAGTCATGAAATGTGAGGTTAGGTAAATAAACTTAGGAAAATAAAGAATTCGATCTCAAGCGTGACTTCCGTTAGAGGGAAGGGTCTTGCGAATGGCCAAATGTTGGAATGCCTCGAGATAAGACAAAGATAAATAAATCTGCTGATTCCTGTTTTATTTTTGTGTGGTGTTATTTGAACAGATACAACAAAATAAGAAAACACTTCCTCATCGCTGTTTTTGAGCTCTACAAGACACCGCTGAGAGTTCAATACAACGTTTCGTTTCGGAGAAATCATCATCAACTTTATTTTTTATATGACCCGTAAAAAAGTACACATTGTATTGAGTAGAATTTTTTATTGCGGATACATGCATACCCGCAGAAAAACGACAGTTGGGTATTGTTCCAACCCTGATTCCAACATGATGGTGCATCAGCGCACAACGCCCTAATCGAGCGTGAATACCTATCGGATAAATTTTTCATTTTCCATTAAATTTGCTCGATAGGTATTGTCACACGATTAGGGCGTTATGCACTTTTGTTTCTTTATACCGTATATCGCTATTTTCGTAATAAAACCATTGAATTTATAACTTATAAATTCAATGATAAAACTACAAGTAAAAATATTACTCAATACAGTAGGTATTTTTACGGGCCATATAATAAACTAAAGTAGAAGATGATTTCCCCGAAACGAAATGTAGGCATTGAAAATCTCTAAACGGTGTCTTGTAGAGTTCAAAAAGTGGCAATAAGAAAGTGTTTTTTTTAATCTTTTGTATCTATTCAAATAAAATAAGAAAAAAATAAAAACCGAGTCGGCAAATTTGCGTCTTTCTGGGATATCTTCGAAACTAATCGGAAATTTCTTGTTTTAGTTAAAGCATGTAATTGCGCATCTCTGCTATCTGCAGATAATAATATCACTATAATTACGTGAAGTTTAGAAGATGATGTGAGGTGGATAAAACTGATAATACGCTCGTGTTAACGCGTCTGCGGACAATTGAAGACTAAAGAAGAGAGTAGTTCTTTACATCTAAACGGATTCGAATAAAAAGATGACGTAATCTTAAGTGGTTCTTATCTTGGATAAACTAAAATGAGTCCTTACCATAGCTTCGTGTAGTTTGTAGCTTGGCTGACGTAAACTTGAATTTAATTATCCGTCCCTGTTATGTCTAACGTCTGTCTTCAGCCGAAACAAAGTAGGTACATGAGATACCGTCAACTTCTCGTACAGTTGTGTATAGCTGTTTCAGTAATAAAGATGTTTGACTGTTACAAAATTTACTAGCCCTTCCATCAGAGTGATCGATATCCTTTATACCACGTATCTAACAGGTTAAACCCAACGTAATAAGCTACGCACGAAGTTTCGGCAGAGAATCGATAATAATTGATGCATAATTATGCAATAGTAAAAGGGATGGTTTCATTTGAGACATAGTTACCTGCATAGCATGTGGCCCATGGGGAATTGTTTTTCTATCACTTTATGATAAAGATTGTGAACGTTAATATGATTTACGTAGCGATAGCATATTCCCTTCAACCTAAAATATTCTATCTACCGTATTAAAAATCAAAAGAGGTAACATACATCGTGTTCCACTTTTCGTCCAAACCATGACTGCCATACTTCAGCAGAGTGAACAAGCCGCCACATTTCAGTACAGCTTTCCTTATTTTGGAACTAATCATTAACGTAGAGGAAAAGTGTGTTGGTATAGAATACAAACCTGTCAAAATGAGTTGGACAAAATTCCTTGAGCAAGTCACTTATGATTTTTATTTCTTCTAAAGGGTCCGTGGCCTCGTCTAAATTAACTTCTATAACGTGATTAATCTATAAGTTTCAGGATCTTAAGGTTAATGCTTACATTTTAAGCGATTTTACCTCCTTTGCAATGTGTAGGCAGATAGGACATCTCATATAAATAGTCGTGTACACATTATATAGCGTTATATCTTCGAATGGATGTCTCAGCTTCAGATCGGTGTTCGGAGTATTGTGTGGAGCTTCAAACGTGATGGCATAAGTTTGCGGATTCGTAATCGTTTGATCATTCCCAAAGTGAAAGAGAGTGTACCTAAACATACATGTTCGTGACTGAGGTACCATAACTACACGTGTACAATTTATACCTACCTCTGCAAAAACAGGTAACAAACATATAAAAATTGTAAAAAGTTCATGGTTAATAGAATATAACAAAATATGACATTAAAATTTCAATACTTTGCCGACTGATGTAGATCGTACTTTGATGTATCCATTTTTTTTACCATTTTTTAAATACAATGACGTTACTCTTCAGCTTCTAGTCGCAGCCAAGGTTTCTTGTTGCTAAATTGAACTGTTTCCCCATTCGATATTCAAGTTGTTCTTCATGGCTGTCATTAGGGCGTCTTTTCTTACGTCAAGTTTGGCAATTTTAAACAAAATTTATTGTATCGTATACCCTATTCCTGTCAACTAAACGAGGTTTACTAAATTATTGTATATGAGGAAGGGTCGTTCCATTATCCTCGCCAACTCGTTTGAATCGATAAATACGAATTAAAAAAAAACTCGTCACTAATCAATTTATAAAATAAATAGGGGCGTTAAATCTTTTAAATACAAATAAAAATACAATTCGATTTTGTTATAGCCTTAGCTGTGTAACACAAATAATTGATAGGGTAGGTATCTAAATTGTACTAGAGCTCTATTAATAATTATTGAAGGAAACGCAACTTTAAACCCGTCGTTGAACTTTTCGGTCCAACCTTTGAATATAGTTATTATATTCAAAGGTCCATCTGTCTCTGCCCAGTTGTCTCTTTTTTTCTTCGCATTCCAATAACTCTGTTCGGTGAATGTGAAAACCACAGGCTTAAATAATTATCAACGAAACCTTAAAATTACACTGATAACTTGATAATTGGTATAGTCGTGTCATTTTATTGTATTGCGTGCTAACGCAGTTAAAGTTCTTCAGAATTTTGCCGAGTCATTCTTAACATCATGATAGAAATTTTTAAATCATTATCTTTGAAACAGACGACCTCTACAGTTTTACTATTACTTGGCAAATGTGAAATGCGATACAGCCCATTATACAGGGTGTTTTTTTTAAAGACGGGCCATAGAAAGTACACACCTAGCATAACGCAATGTAAAGGCGTGGAGTTATTTAAAATGGGCCATAGGGAAATTTACATTGCGCATATTGTTCTCAAATCTTGGCCTTGCGCTTAGTTGTTTCCCTGACAGTTCTCGATCTCAATCCTTCAAATGCATCAACGAAGCAGCAACATGTATTCCGTCGCTCGAAAAGGTGTTCATGTAGTACAATATGTACAAGAGTGGGCACAGTAGCTGAGTGGTAATGCGAGCTATTCAGTGCCGAGTATCGGGTATTGTTTGGTTACCGGTTGAAAACAATTCGAGCACCGTTTGTAATCTAAACGTTTATATCTGATTTGAATAAATTTGTTAATTTAGAAACAATTTCTACAGTACTGTGGCAGATGATTCGCGAGGAAGCTATGAAACAATTGATGCAATGTAAATTTCCCTATGGCCCATTTTAAATAACTCAACGCCTTTACATTGTGGTATGGCCCACCCACCCTGTATATGGAATGTAGTATATATCTCGATAAATAAGAACTGTATACAAAATGTTTGTATATAATAGTTGTTTAACATTTTATTTGCCATAATAAGGCAGCGTTCAGTTGTTATTTATTTCAGAAAACAAATGAGGAACGGAAAACAATTCACACAACGCGTATTCCTGAATATTTGTATTTTAAAATTATATTGCGGACATCCAAATACCTGCGCACAGTACTACACGTTACGAAGCTTCCTTTAGTTACCTGTCTGTCTTTTTGTACAACAAAGTAGGGTAGAACAGGCTGAGTAGACATCCACCTAATATAAATAAATGTTAGAAAACTCGGAACCTTTGTCTGCGTTCATGCAACAGAATTTTAGACACACAGGTTTGCGAATCTCAAAACGCTTAAAACATTTTTTCTTCAAATGTCAATAAAGCTTGACATTTGTCAACTCATTTCATGATATAAAAGTTTTACGTTTTATTTAAATTCCTACCCCATGTAGGTATTCCCCTTCTAAACTCGTTTAGTGAGATGTACATTATTCTTGTAGTACAGTGTTTTACCTTAGGCCGTTAGAGGCCATCCGAGTGTTATATGTTTCTTTTACAATAGTTCTTTGTTTTGCCGCTCGAGGTCGCGCAGAAATTTTCTTAGTCTCTTTTCGGCGCATGAAACAGGTTTAATTGTTACTCTAAGAAGAACGCGCACGTCATTTTGTTACCTTTTTTGGATATACCTAGTATACCAAAAGAATCAAGTCAATCCTTCCTCCGACACTTCATTTTAGAGATATTCGCACACTGAACACAGTTCCTTATTTTAATTAAAATACAATCAAATATAAAACCAAGTTCTAATACCCCCCCCCCCCCTCAGAGCAAAAGTTCGTGTGTTGTTTTGGTGGTTAACACCATTTTATTGTAGTTGTACCACAATCTTAATCCACCTAAATGGGTTTGCAATAATTGTGGCAATTGTTGCGGATCATGAGCATTACTTATCTAAAAGTAGAATACTGGATTGTTTAGCAATAACTTTTACTATGGCGTTATTACCTACAAAAATTAAATTAATTGTCCCATTCCATTTATGTTGCAGTTAACTTAATAGTACAAGTTGAAACGACAATACCTACTATTCAGGCACTAAATGGTAAATATACAAACAAAAGCAAATGACCCGATAAATTTTAATCGTGGAACTCATTAAGATTCCCAATTTTAATTCCGTATAAAAACAAATTAATTAAAACGCTTCACTTGAGGATGATTGCTTTTAGTTTGCGCAATACCGATCACTTTTAAAGCCAAGTTATAAGAGAACGACCATCTTTTTTACTCATTTAAGGAAATTCTACTGCTAACATCATGCGCTATACCGAAATATAATTCTCCCTGAAAGAACTCCAAGGTTTTCAATAGAAAATGTTGGAATGCAAAGTATATATTTTCTTATCAAATGTCATGTGAGTTGATAAAATCTCAATCGTATTATACTGGAAGGAGCGAAGATTCTGTCAAATCCCACTTTGCCTGAAAAAGTGTAAACAACATTATCTGATGTTTGTCAGCCATTTTCTTAAAAGTAACTTTAACTTTTTTCTCAATATAAACCATTTATTCTTTGATGTATATTCACAAACGTGAAAGCTTTCTTCGGTTTACCTTCCTATAGCAACCGCGAGATATAGTATATTTTATGCAAATGAAAGAAATATGTTTGATCTAGCGATTTGTATCCGCAAAGTGATAAGGGCTACTGAGACCACACATAAAGGTACCTTTATGAAATATTTGTCTTGTTTCACTGGGCATTACAATACATATTTGCCGAAACTTTTGAGTAGGTTCGCTATTACATACATTTTTTCTTCATATCTTCCATGAATTCTCAACCCCTAATCGTGCGAGGATAGGTACCTACATACGGAGAAATGTTCCATCTCTCTAGGAATTTTCTCCGGTAGGTATTATCGCACGAGTAGTGCGCGGGTGAAGCATCGTTTTGCAACCTTCGTTTTCCAACTCTTGTTTTTTTTGTATCCCGTATATCGTTGTATTCTTGTATTCCTAATAAAAAATGCTACCCAGTACAGTGTGTACTTTTTTACGGGCCTTATAAAAAATAAATATGATGTTAATTTCTCCGAAACGAAACGTTGTATCGAAAATCTCTCGGTGTCTTGTAGAGCTCAAAAAGTGGCAATCAGAAAGTGTTTTTTTAATATTTTGAATCTGTTCAAATAACACCAGAAAAAACGAAATCGGCAAATTGCGGTTTTTCTTGCATATCTTCGAAAGTAATTGGAATTTTCTGCTTTCCTTTAAAGCATAATAATAATTCCGTAATTGTGAATCTTTTCTCTAATTGAACCATCGTCGTATCTATGGTAGACGTCCTTATCTTGGACACAGTGTCATGTAAACTTGACTATCTTCCTATCTTCTGGTTTCAGAGATCCCCAGGATAGACATACTTATTTTGGACACAGTATCCAGCAGCATGGCAAGTGTCTTAATTAGCTTTTTAAGGTTTTTAAGTTTTAGATTTGTGGTATTTACCTGTTTACCAGAAAAATATATATTTTGATATTTGTTTTACTCAATTGATGGTATATGTGTTTTTATGAATTGTTTAACTGCATTTGATCCGATTACTTCATTTTTATCGTACAATTTGAGATCTTTTTTTGTTATTTTTCTCATTTGCATTTTGTTGTTGATTTATTTCATGCATTTGTGTGGGAAATGCCAGGGTTTTTGTCCCGTAGAAGGTTTATCTGGCATTGCCTTGTTGTGTGCGTGATCCTGGTATTTCCTTATTGTATGCGTAATATATTCACTTGTTCTTGTCTTTTCTTACGCACAAAATTCTGCATTTTATTTAAGTCCCTTCCCGATTATGTCTCACGTCCCAACACATAAAATAACCGATTAAACAACGTAGGAGTGCCATCCCTATCAGCCCGACTGCTATCGAAATTTCAAACGGGCTGCGAAACGTCCGTCGTTTCGAGTTAAAAGGTAACGACTCTACCCGTAGTTTTCCCAGAATTACCAACCGGAAGTATAAGGTAAGTCAACATTTTCAGTGTCGGCTTGGGAGACCCCTAGGACAAGTACAGCACTCTAACTACGGTCACAAAATCTCACGGATACCCTAAATTATCTAACCACATCTCAAATGAAAGCCACCCACGCCTGTCGAAAATTCCACTGTACCCACTAAGCATCGGCGGCTACAATATGCTCTACTAATCTTCCACTAACAATAACAAAACAGGATGAAAGTTAATTAAGCTAAACGAATTTTCCTTAACTCACAATTCGTATAAATGTAATTGAAGCGACATTCTAAATGAAACTTCTACGCACATCTGAAAGTATTACGTATGTGACATCTATAGCAAATATGAACTACCCCCTAAGTACACGTTAAAGCAGAGTGTATTATTAATAATCGATGTTGGTCTAATTGCATACTCTTTAAATATAGTTTCTGGCGATTGATCATTTTGTTGTGCAAGTCTGGACATAGTTTAGAAGCGATCTTAGCCACTTGTCTCTTAATTTGGAGGATATAAAATGGGATTAATTAATACGTAAGTGGAAGCTTAAAATGATGTTACCGTAATTGCGTGCTAGGTCATTTCCATTCGACGTTGAATCATCTTAATTGTTTATCGTTGCCATACTATTATTGTCATATGAGTAATCTTCGTATTATTTAAATGTATGTATATTTTTGTGATTAAGGGGTTGTTCCTTATAATTGTTTCTTTCAGTCCAAGTTGTGCATTTCTCATTTTGGTTTCTGGCTTTAATTTTAACTGGCAGAAATTACCAATTTAACCGTGCACCCACGTTAATTACGAAGAGTATCATTAGTCTCATTAAAACACCATATATACCTGGTGGCGGACA